GTACATACGGTAGGCTATATCTAATGTATTTTACTTATCACACACCTGTGTCTCCTGTATATACGGTAGGCTATATCTAATGTATTTTACTTATCACACACCTGTGTCTCCTGTATATACGGTAGGCTATATCTAATGTATTTTAGTTATCACACACCTGTGTCTCCTGTATATACGGTAGGCTATATCTAGTGTATTTGACTTATCACACACCTGTGTCTCCTGTATATACGGTAGGCTATATCTAGTGTATTTTACTTATCACACACCTGTGTCTCCTGTATATACGGTAGGCTATATCTAATGTATTTTATTTATCAGACAGTGGTGGTGATATACCAATGAATATTTTATGTTTTTTAAGTGTTTATATATTTCTAGTATTTTTTAAAGAAGGTGTGTGGTGATCATCAATTGAAAGATGATGATGATGATATGTAGAACCTTCCTAGTGATGGTGTAGTTTGAAGATGTTTCAATTTGTCCTTCTCACACCTGGTAGATTGAAACTTCGTTTAAACGTTCAACAGACAGATTTTCTCTGTCATTTTATAATTTACCTTCTTAGCAATGACTATTCACGGATATTTCAACTTTAAATATTTTAAGAAGAACTGTTAAATATATGTACATTTATAAATATGCTCTGATGGTAATGATTGTTCTGTTCCTATTGTACGTGTACACTCGTTGATTCCATTCCTCTACCTACATGCGTGTGTACGGATGGTACTTGGAAAGTCGGTCAGCACACGCCGATCATATCTCTAGAGGGTTTTTATTTTTCTTCGGTCACATGTCGAGGTGATCTGCTGCGTGGATCGTTACTAACACCATCAGATTCTTGGAAACGTGAGACTTAATTTTCTTTTTTGTTCCAAAACCGACGATCCCGAAAAAAAAAGTTTTCCAAGATACTCAGGTGCATTTTCCTCTACTAATGCTGTTGTAGACCACTGATAAGTTTATTGGCTTACAACTCTAAAATTCAGGGTTTGATACCCCCCGCGGTGGTCAGAGTGCAAATAGCCCATTGTGCAGCTTTGCACTAAGAAAACATCAACTAAATCTGTAATATTTTTAAAATGTTTATTATGTGCTTACAACTCTAAAGTTCGGGGTTTGAATCCCTCGCGGTTGACACAGTGTAGATAGCCTATTTTGTAGTTTTTCCCCGTTTAAAATGTTCAAACAAGTCGATGTGGCACGTGGACAACATAAAAACATTTTTAGTTTGTTTTTGAAAGCATATCGAAGAAAAGATAGCATAACTAAGCGACTTAACATACTACTAACTCGCCAAGAAAGACATCAGTGAAGATTACATTTACCTTGTTGAACACGCGCTCACGCTCACAATGGTTATAAAATCTCAAAAGTAAGACTGATGTTAAAATATGAAAACAATCTATGTCTGACAGGTGTGTAATTGTTAGAGAAACAGGAACTGATCTGAGCCTCATGTTTCTAAATTCAAATACAGATACTCACCGAGCACAATTACGACAACTAGATCGTCTAGAACTGACAGTCGGTTTGTTGGGGGAGGAACCCTCTACGTTCTATATAAACGGATAGTTATCAGTTTGTCGGGGGGGGTGTCCACATTTTATATAAACGGATAATTAACAGTTTATTGTGGGAGGAACCCTCTACGTTCTATATAAACGGATAGTTATCAGTTTGTCGGGGGGGGTGTCCACATTTTATATAAACGGATAATTAACAGTTTATTAGGGGAGGGTCTCCACGTTCTATATAAACGGACGGTTCACTGTCTTCACCCTGTACTCAGTTCCAGTTAATGACCATAGAAGAAATTCTGTTGTAAAACAAGGGCCCCATCCTATATATAAAAGGAAGTCTACATAATGTAATCACGTTTCTGACCGCTAGGCTAAGCTGTTAGAAACAGTCTACATAATGTAATCACGTTTCTCACCGCTAGGCTACGCTGTTAGAAACAGTCTACATAATGTAATCACGTTTCTGACCGCTAGGCTAAGCTGTTAGAAAGAGTGTACATAATGTAATCACGTTTCTGACCGCTAGACTACGCTGTTAGAAAGAGTGTACATAATGTAATCACGTTTCTGACCGCTAGGCTACGCTGTTAGAAAGAGTCTACATAATGTAATCACGTTTCTGACCGCTAGGCTACGCTGTTAGAAACAGACTACATAATGTAATCACGTTTCTGACCGCTAGGCTACGCTGTTAGAAACAGACTACATAATGTAATCATGTTTCTGACCGCTAGGCTACGCTGTTAGAAAGAGTGTACATAATGTAATCACGTTTCTGACCGCTAGGCTAAGCTGTTAAAAAGTGTCTACATAATGTAATCACGTTTCTGACCGCTAGGCTACGCTGTTAGAAACAG